TCCCCAGCTACACACATTTACCTACAGAACAGCACAGGTGTAGTTGTGCTTTTGTGATACCCAGTACTCTCAGGCCCTTGGTAGTCTGAGGGCCTGAGTCAGTCACCCTTACTGTGTTACTCTCTGCTGACCACATCCCCTCTGGTCACCTGGACCTGAAAAGGACTGCATTCTAGAGCTCATGTCCTAAGGACTGGGGAAAATAAGGTACATCTTCTGAGCTTTCCAGGGAGCTTGGGTATTTTAAATCCCTGTTTACTTGTAAATTCTTCTGGTCTTTCTCAAACCCCAAGGCTACTGGAATGGTCAAAGTTGCCAATGGGTGATTTAATGGGCATTCATACAATTTATTAGAATAACAGCAATGGGGTAAGAGAAGGTTGTACTACGAAATAAACATGTGAAAATGTGGGGGCACAGACTATAGCAACATGAGAGGATACAATGCCATGCAAAGGTATGCACTTCAGCCTTAGAAAGATAAGTGAAGGGGAGTTCAAAATCTACCAGCTTTAGAAGAGACTCTGGGGCTCCAAACCGAGGAGGGGAGCCTTGAGAGGAAAGGGTTAATGAGGCCATGTTGCCCGGCCAGGTTCTCCTCTGAATTGACACAGAAGTCTCAAGTGAGATGCTAAAGCTATTAAAAGGACATTAGGAAAACATTCTTGGCTTCCTTAGAAGCTTCTCCCTTAATGAGTCCAAACTAAATATATTTATAAACTGTACCCAAGGCTTTTCTTAGGTGAAGTATCCATATTACTCAGCATCTCTGGAGCCACAATGATATTTCTGGAAGGAACAAACAGCTATTTCTTCATTAAGTTTTTCACAATTGGTACGGATGTCAAAAGATGAAGAAAAATATTGGGAAAAAAATCTATCAATCACTTTAATTTTTCTGTACATGACTTTAATGTTCCTGATGAGGCTCCCATAATCTGGTTTCCCACAGACAGACTGACTGAAAACCACTGAGCTGGACTCCCATCTTACACTTAACAATCCCCCACTGATCTTCACCATCTTCAATTTGGATTCCATCTTTTACCTTCCCCCACAAGCTTCTCCATAAAGCGTCTTTAAACCTTGCGGCACCTGAGTCCCCAGAGGTCACTGGCAAACATGGAATATGACCGGTGGGGGCTAAGTGGGAGAGCCAGCACTTTAATATTCTACGAAATGATCTGAGAAGCATATACAAATATGCACCCAGCATTTGTCTCATGTATTTCATTTTAAGTAATTCAAACGAAGATGAAGAAATAACATTCAATTTACAAGAAACAGCTTAAAAAAAAAAAAAAGTCAGGAATTCCCAAGATGCCATAGCCAAGAGTTTGAAATTTTATTTAGGATTTTATGTTATTTTGGGGCCTGCAAAAAAGAAATAGTTCTAACTTGAGTTTACTTTAAAGGCTTCATTTGTGACCCTAACACTCATCATGCCAACCCCACTCCACTAAATTTAACTAATCAAATTTAGCTTACTGAGTGTCTGTAACATGATAAACATTAAACAAATATTTTATTGTTTGCACACTGGTTTAACGAGGAAAGACTGATGGTTATAGACTGAACAAAAGTTGAATTTGATTAATAAAAGTTAGAGTACTAGAATAACCATTCAAAATTTAAAACAGATATATAAAAGGAATATTTATTGCAAATACAAAATATTCATCTAAAAAGGCGTCTATTTTAAACTACTCAACATAGTTTAAAATATGAAGTCTGAAAACCAGTAAAGGTCCTTACCAGGTTAAGAAAAACTGACATTTATGTGACATCAGTAGCACATGAATAGCTGACACTTAATAAAGGGCATAGATTCTGGAGTGTCCATAGCCCACATGCTTAGACCAGGAGGGGAATAAAACACACATACACATTAAAAAGTGAACAATTCCTTCTTCAGAGCTCTAAACAAGAAGAGGACACCGCCGTTCTCAATCCATTTTCAATGATTAATACTGTGTTTTTCATTAAATGGGAACAGATAAAGTTCTAAGGACCTAAGGACCTCATTCATTAGATCACTAAAAAGAAGCAGGTTTTAACCAAAATGACATACTGCTTCCCCGTAATATGATACTATACCTAGAAATCTTTGACATCCTGTAATTTTTAATGAATACTCCTAATCTCTTAACAATTTTTAAGGGTCGTAATTTTCACTAAGATTGAATTATACATTTTAGGGAGGCAGAAGAGCACAGTGGCTAAAATCAGGCCTCCTTATTCACCTATACTTTCATTTTCTCACCACAGCCAAAAACAAAATATTTCAATTACTATCATCATACAGTACAGGTATTTGCAAAAGTATTTTTTAATATTGAACCAAAAGCAAAGTGTTTCCTCTCCTTAAACATGACCTTTCCAGAACAGCCTAAGCCACTTAACCTGGGAATAGAAAAACGTATTGGCCTAAATTAATCCTTTCCAGCTTCCACTGCACTGTTTAATCCAAAACCACCTTTTAAAAGTATATAGGTCACCACTTATATTAAAGTGACAAAGTATGAAATTAAACATTTCTTATCAATACTGATCCTCTATTGTATTGTCAGAGATGGAATTCCAAATCACAGCTCAAGCTTTTAGTCAAATTGACAATTACAATGCAAATATTCTGGCTCTGGTTTCTCAAGAATAGGGTTGGGAAGCAATCTTCCTCTCCCTCTCTCTTTGTAATTTTGTGCATTCTGCAAAGAAAAAAGAAAATAAGTACGGAAAATTTCTCTAATTTTCTCTTGCAAAAAAGAACAATTGTCTCTTCAGTACTATTCTTATGTTCACCAGATGCAATTTGCTTTGAGAACAAATGTATAAAAATCAAGGTTTAAAAAAAAAAAGGCTACCCACATGCTGTATCTAATTATTCAACAAAGTATCCTCTTCAAAGTAATTACCAACTAACAAGGGTATGCCTCCTTTTGTGAAATGGAGAAAAATGGAACTTTAGAAAACAAGAGTAGATTTTTCTATCAGCTTACATTATAATTTCAGGGCTGCACTTTTTGTTCCTAATTTTTAATTGGCAGTGTCTCCTAATACTTAAAAATTTTTTTCATCCATAAATTTATAAGGGTTAGTGATTTTCATGCACACATAAGTGGATTTGTAGAACACCATTTTTAGAGAAAACAATTTTGTAAAGGAGAAAGATTTTTTTTTAATCTTTAAGTTCTCTTGTTTTAATTTTTTTACACGTTATGTATAGATCTAAGACACAGTTAAAGGGAATTTCTACAAATTAATTTTCTATAATGATAGTAATAAAACATAACCAATGTATAGTGAGAATTCACAAATCTATACCAACATTAATTAATAAGAGAAAAAGCAAAGCCCTTCTTCACAGTAGGAATCCAATTAATAAATGTAGAAAAAGCCATGCAATGTGTAAGAGTTATAACTGTTTCAAGAAAGATTATTAATAAATGCTCAAATCTGTGGGTAAAAAATATAATCAAGAAAATATAATCAAGAAAGATTATTAATAAATGCTCAAATCTGTGGGTAAAAAATATAAGAAATAAGCTATTTTCAAATTTCTAAGAATCTCCCCATAAAATAAATAAAAAAAAAACATAATAGTAAAATTTACAGTGGAGAAACCTGGCAGATAACACCTTAGCCAACTGTTCCATTTTCACCAGTAATGGCACAAACAGATACTACCCAGTAAGATATCCTGGGAAAAATCAAGACCAAGTCTCTGGGTTTCCTGCCCAAAGTACATAATCTGAATTTAGTCATGAGGCAACATCAAAAAGCCAAAAGCAAAGCATTCTACAAAATAACGGGCCAGTAAGCTGCAAAGTTGTCAAGGTCATGAATGACAAAGAAGAAAAACTGAAAAAACTGTTTCAGATCAAAGGAGACTAAAAAAACATGAGGATCAAATGCAATATGTGACCCCGTACTGTATCCTGGACTAGAAAAGGATGTTAGTGGCAAAATTTGAAAAACTATAGATTATTTACAAAAACAAAAAAATCTATAGATCATATCATGGTATTGATCCAATGTTAATTTCCTGTGATTATGGAAGAGAATGTATACACTGTATTATTTAGCTGATGTATTATTACATCAAGTCTGCAACTAGCCCAAGAACATTATATCTAATAAACGTTTTATATTATGATTATTATAACATATATATATAATGATAAAGTAAAATGTGAATTTACTCAGGTAAAATGTGATTATTGGGAGAATCTAGGTAAAGAGCATACAGAAATCCTTTGTTATAATTTTTTCTATGTCCTCGTAAGTCTGAAATTTCAAAAGATGTCTAAAAGGTAAGTGATCTCAATTTTGAAATGGTTTGACCACAGTCTAGTCTAGTGGTTTGCAAACCTTTATAAAAGGACCAGACAGTTGATACTTTAGGCTTTGTGGGTCAGATGGTCTCTTTTACAACTCCTCAGTGCCGCCACAGTGTTTAAAAAAACAAAAACAAAACCAAAAGCAACACGTTCCACAAATAGTAAGTATGGAATAACTTGTTCCAATAAAACTTTATTTACAAAAATATGCAGCGGGCCACATTTGGCTCATTGGCCACAGTTTGCTGAGCCATGGTCTAGGTCATGCCAAGGAAAATTTATCAGAGCAATCATACTCTCAGTTAACATTATGAACACATGCTCGACACTATATGAAGGGCTTTACCAGCATTAACTCATTTATCCTCACACCAACGTGATGAGGTAAATACTATTATTATTTACACTTTCCACAGAGAAAATGGGCCTAGAAAAACTAAGGAACTTGCTCAAGGTCACACAGCCAGCATGCAGCAGCCTTTGGGTTTGAACCAGGTAGGACTGCCCTCTTCACACTGAACTATGCAAACTATATGCGATATTTCTCACACGGACTGAAATATACTGCCACGTTCAACAACCAAGGAACTCTAATCATTTTAACAGCAGCTAGGTAACTATCCAAGTTAAGATTTACACTCTGAGAAGGTGTGTTTTACAAACCTCCTGTAGCTGTGAAGAAATGAGTCCCAGTTGATCCTGCCGTCGTTCCACCAGCTCTCTCTCTGTGCGCATCTCTCTTTCTATTTCCTGAAGCCGTCGTTCCACACGATCTGAAACCTTAACATGAAAGGACAGAAACAGTGACATTATAGAGCTGGTAGGCAAAAAAAAAAAAAGACAATACTGAAGGTATATCTCATGCCAGCTACACTATTGCCTATAGCATTAAGAATAGTTTGTTTATAGGGCCTCTTCAAATGACTCTTATTACACAATAGATCACAAAAAAATTGACTGAAAGTTACAGAAGGAAACAATCAATAGTTTCCAAGTAATCCAGACCCAGAACCCAATGAAGGACATAAATCTTTCAAAGCATCATATAATAATTCAAAAGACAGAGTTAAAATAGACTAGAAAAGAGTGCCCTCTGGTGAGTTAGAAGGAAAATACCAAGGTTGCCAACAACTGCATTTATTATGCTAATAATGATAAACTATTCTATTTAGTTCTTTTTCATTTTAATTATCTATAAACATGACCTGCCTAGAAAGGTTTTGATGTCTATGAACAGCAAATAAATAAAAGCATTTTTCATTAGCTTGTCGATCTTTTCTACTGTGATCTACTGAAAATAAACCGGTGGTAAAAGATCAGAAACTAAAATCAAACAGAAAAATGTTTAATTGGGCCTCTCTAAAATAAACATTAAAGAATTTTGTCTCTGGTGCAAGATTTTCCTTGCTAAAAGTTGTACACACCCAAACACATTTCATGTTTATCATCATATAGTTCCCTAAATAAAATTTACCTATTTGATGATGTATATTTAGTGCAGCAGGCTACAGGAGATAGAAAACATTTGGATTCATTGAAGAGAAGCAATCAATACAGCCCCCTTATAAGAAGTCTTTTCCAATAACTCTATAGAGCCAGGAGGGTCCTGGTCACAAGGAATCTCACTGGGGCAATGGAAATGTTATAAACTAGATTATGGTGATGACTGTACAACTCAGTATATTCACCAAAAATCACTGAACTGTACATGTTCAGTTAATTAATTTTATGATAAACCATAGCTCAAATCAAGTTGTTTTTTAAAAAGACATTGGTAAATATAAGTTTAATCAGTCAATAACGCTGAGCAATAACATTCTATCAAAACCATTTAGCAGTTAATATTTACTAAGAATGATCATTCTTGGGCTCCCAATTTCTACTGCTTGAAAACAACTAAGATATTTACTATGATACTCACAGTGCTTTACTAAAAACTCAAAACACCCTTTAGCATCAAGCTTCTCATTTATCCTAGTAATCAACCTTAAAATCCCAATCAACAATTTACTGCTGCATCTCAAATAAATGCAGTGCCTGCTATAACAGAAAACAATACTGGATAAATACTAAAAAATATATAAAGTTGTTAATTCATGCAACTGTTACAAAATCAAAATGCCTTTATAATTCACTCTGAATGTAAAAAGTAGTTAATAGTAACATTCATCAGGAAATAAATAATACAGAATCATCTCAGACTTATTAGGGTGGCTACTATCCAAAGAACAAAACAAAACAAAAACAGAGAACAACAGGTGTTGGAGACAAATTGGAACCTTGATACACTGTGAGTGGGAGTATAAAATTGTACAGATCCTATGGAAAACAGTAAATTGGTTCCTTAAAAAATAAAAACAGAGTTACCAGCAATTCCATTTCTAGATATACACCCAAAAGAATTGAAAGCAGGGTCTTAAAGAGTAATTTGTAGACCCGTGTTCATAAGCAGCATTGTTCACAACAACCAAAAGATGGAAGCAACCCAAGTGTCCACTGACAAATAGATCAACCAAATGTGATTTATACAATACAATGGAATATTATTCTGCCTTAAAAAGGAAGAAAATTCTAATATATGCTACAACATGGATAAACTCTGGATACATTATGATAAGTGAAACAAGCCAGTCACATAGATAAATGCTGTATCGTTCTACTTATATGAGGTACCTGGAGCAGCCAAATTCATAGAGACAGAAAGTTAGAAAGGTGATGTCCAGGGACTAGAAAAGTAATGGGTATAGTTCATTTTGCAATATAAAAAGAGTTCAAAACAGTGAATGTACATAACACTGCTGAATATTTAAAAGTGACTAGAAGAGGGCAGCCTGGGTAGCTCAGGTTAAGCGGCCAACTTCTGCTCAGATCATGATCTCACAGCTCATGAGTTCAAGCCCCATGTCAGGCTCTGTGCTGACAGCTCAGAGCCTGGAACCTGCTTCAGATTCTGTGTCTCCCGCTCTCTCTCTGCCCCTCCCCTGCTCATGCTCTGTCTCTGTCTCTCTCTCTAAAAAATAAACATAAAAAAATAAAAATTAAAAAATAAGTGATTAGAACAGTAAATTTTATATTTTACCACAATTAAAAATAAATAGTAAAAAATGATATGAGGAAATAACCCGTCAATATCATCCATGAAGAGAAAAACACTGTTAAGTACATTGTTGTACTTCCAGAAATTTTTCTATGCATATGTGCATGACTATTCAAACACATCCATTTCACTTCTTTCTCTAAACAAAAATAAGGTGTTACATATAGTATTTTATAAATTTCTTGCAGTTGACATATCATGGGCAACTTTCCATGACAACAAATAAATCTACATCCTTTTCCTTCATAAATGCATAGTTCTCCATAACTGATTAAAATAATTCTCTATGGATTTTGTTAATTCAAGATACAACCTTTAAGTGTAACTGTTGACTCAAAAGATATGAATCACTTTTAAAAAATAAAACATGAAATAAAATAAAACTTGGAAGTATTTTGGATTTTTATCCAAATCCTTTACTTTAAAAAGAAGACTGAGAAGATGAAGTTGTTAACCAGGGATGACACAACTAATTGGTAACAAAAAAAAAAAAAAGAGCCCAAAACGGGTCTCCCTTTCCATTAACATCCTATAAACCCATCATGCATTCATTCAATAAACATGCACAGACACTCATTTGTTCCAGCCGTTGTGGTAGATAGAAGTTAGGGATATAGCAGTACCTATGCTGTATCCACAGATCCTACCTTCAAATAGCTTCCTAAGTATTAAACACTGACACTGAATGAGTAATTAGAATTTCTCTCCTTAAATTGAATGAGTTGAATGACTTCTATATTTCAGGAAAGAAGGTTGTACTTATTAGCATCCTAATCAAAATTAGAGCAAATACTGGGTCACCTCGGTGGCACAGTCAGTTAAGCATCTGACTCCGGCTCAGGCCATGATCTTTCAGTTTGTGAGTTTGAGCCCACATTGGGCTCTGTGCTGAAAACTTGGAGCCTGAAGTCTCCTTTGGATTCTGTCTTCCCTTCTCTATGCCCCTCCCCAACTCATGTTCTGCCTTTCTCTCTCTCTCTTTTTCTCTCTCTCAAAAATAAATAAATTCTTAAAATTTTTCTCTCCACCCCTCCCCAACTCATGTTCTGCCTTTCTCTCTCTCTCTCTCTCAAAAATAAATAAATTCTTAAAATTTTTTAAAAAAGAAGAAATCCAAATACTAAAATAAAAAGTCAAAATTTTTAAGACAGTCTTTCCAATAAATGGTACTGGGAAAGCTGGACAATTATACACAAAAGAATTAAACTGGACAGCTTTCTTATACTATATACAAAAATAAACTCAAAATGGATGAAAGACTTAAAGGAAAGACTGGAAAGCATAGAACTCCTAAAACAAAATATGGGTAGTGAGCACTTGGAAATTAGTCTGAGCAATGTTTTTTTTTTAAATCAGTCTCCTCGGGCAAGGGCAACAGAAGCAAAAAGAAACAAATAGGACTACACCAAATTAAAAGGCTTGTTTGCACAGCAAAGGGAATCACCAATATAATGAAATGGCAACTTACTGAACAGAAGATCATTTACAAAAGGCATTACCAATAAGGGGTTAGTATCAAAAATACATAAAGAACTCATACAGTTCAATATAAAAACAGTCCAATTTATGATTTGTTTTATTTTGAGAGAGAGTGTGTAAGCACAAGTGGGGGAGGGGCAGAGAGAGAGAGAGAGAGAGAATCCCACCCAGGCTTCATACTGTTAGTGCAGAGCCCAATACAGACCTCAAACTCACAAACCATGAGATCACGACCTAAACCGAACTGAGCCACCCAGTGCCCTTTAAAAAATCCCATTTTAAAATGGGCAAAGGGACTAAATAGACATTTCTCCAAATAAGACATAAAAGACCAACAGACATATGAAAAGATGATCAATGTCACTAATCATCAGGGAAATGCAAACCAAAACCACAATGAAATATCACCTCATCCCTATTAGAAAAGCTATTATCAAAAAGACAAGAAATAACAAGTGTTGGCAAGCATATGGAGAAAAGAGAACCCTCATGCACTGTTGGTGGGAATGCAAAATGGAGCAACCACTCTGGAAAACAGTTAAGGAGGTCCCTCAAAAAATTACAAATAGAATGACTATACAATGCAGCAATTCCAACTTTGGGGTATTTATTCAAAGAAAAGTAAAACACTAATTCAAAAATATATATACACTCTTATGTTCATTGTAATGTTATTTACAACAGCCAAGATTTGGAAGCAACCTGTGTCCATCGATTGATGAATGCTTAAAAATGATGTGGTATACATACACAAAAAAGAATGGAATCTTGCCACTTGTGACAACATGGATGGTCCCAAAGAGGACATTAAGTGAAATAAATCAAATGGGGAAATATAAATACTGTGCGATTTCACTTATATGTAGAATCTAAAACACAAAACAAACAAATAGACTCATAGATCTATCAAACAATCTGGTGGTTGTGAGAGGGGGATGGTGAAATAGAGGAGGGGGATTAAAAGGTACAAACTTTCAGTTATTTAAAAAAAATATATCCAAAATTATTTAGACATTAGCTACTTCACCACCAATAGCCAGTACATGTGATCATATAGAGTAACCATATTTGGAGGATTCTCTGTTTTGAAATTAATATTTGTGTTAAGTAGCTTCTGACATGGTTTCAACGGTTTCTGTTTGCTGGTATTTATCTACTTGGGTAATTTCTTCCGCTTGAGTGTGGACTGGCCCTAGTAACTTCC